GAGGGAGGCACAGAATCTGACTTTGGCTCCAGGCTCCGAGCTGTCAGCACAGAGCCCAACGCGGGGCTTGAACCCACAAACTGTGAGATCGTGACCCGAGCCAAAGTCAGATGCTTAAACAACTGAGCCACCCAGGCGCCCCTCCTTCTAAACTTTTACAAAATCACCCACAATTCGGACGTGTTAAGGTAAAAATGCGTCCTTCCTCCTTGGTTCAAAACTTGAGAGAAAAAAGGCTCCTTTCTGGCCGTGAGTCGTTGCATCCATGCAAACCTGCACGCGTGCTCACACGACACATCTGTAGAGGGGTCTCTGGCAGGGACCCCACCGAACCATGCACGTCAGTAGGCGACAGACTTTTCTGCCTTTGACGACCTGCCACGCACCCTTTCCCGAGGCGGTCCGCGTGGACGTCTTGTCCTTTCGAATGGCTGCACTGAGCTCTCAGGGCAGCTTCCAGTTCGGCCCTTCCCACCCTGGGGTTCTGGAGGGGATGAGCCCCAGAGGAACGGCCTGGGGGCAGCGAGGGGTGCAGGTGGGAGGTGGCCCCGGTCCCGGAGAGCTCCTCTCTGACTCTCCACCTGCCACATGCTCCGGTCTTGGGGTTGACGTCTCTGGGGCTTAAGGGACCGGCGCCGGGGCCGTTGGCCAAGGCTGGCAGAGGGCGAGGGCCTCACCTGGCCTTGGACCCGGGGTGCAGGGTGGGGCCGACAGACCAGCCGGGACTCAGGACGCTGCTGCCCTGAGCGTGCCCATCTGCTCAGCTTGCCCCCCACAAACAGCCGGCCCCCACATCCTTGGCTGCTGGCAGGAAGGAGGCCCCAGCTGGCAAAGGCCCGACGTGTACTTTCCACATAGGGGCTCTGCAGGGGGGCCTGCAGTGTGGCTGCCTGGGCTAAGTGCCCACTAAGTACCTCAAGGCCGGGAAGGTAGAGTAGGTCCGAAGGCAGATTGGGAACCCATCCTTTGGGCTGCTGTGGCTGGGAAGGCTTCCTGAAGGAGGGGGCATTGGAACTGGGTTTACAAGAGAGGCATGTACCACAGGCCCTGCGCTCTGGCCCCAGATCAGCACTGTCAGGCTCTTAACCTCTCTGGACCTGGGTTTCTCCCTGCTGTTGCTGATATGTGCCCAGGGAAGGGCCCCCCACTGGGTTTTAGGACACGGGCTGACGCCGAGTCTGCCCCGGGCAGCGTCCAGGCTGGGGAGCTGGGGCAGCTCTGAGCAAGGGGAGGCTTGTGAGAGGTGACGGCCTTCCCGCCCTGAGGCCAGGGCCCGAGGAGAAGGTTCCGTAGGGCTGGCCTGCTTCTTCCTGTGACTTAGATGAAGTTCTGCCCTCTCTGGGCCTCGGTTTCCGTGTCTGTGACCAGATGATCCCCCATGAACTAGCCAGCACTCGACGGGGCCCCACGGACCCAGACGCTTCAGCGGGGAGGTGGTCTTGAGCAGGGGGAGCTGGGTCTACGTGTGCACCCTACTCGAGCTGGGGCCTGGCTCCGTGGAACTACACGTCTAAGCCTTGGCTGTAAGTCCTCCGGGGCTTTCTGAGGCCCTGGCATCCGGGGACTGGGGTTTGGGAGAAAAGAGGGAAGGCAAGACCCTGCCCCTGGTTGCCCCTCGCACGCAGTGGGCAGATCAGAGGCCTTGGAGTCAGAAGGCCTCAGGGGTTTGAATCCTGGATCCACAGCTTCCTGGCTGCATAACCTTAGGCAAGTCCCTGAACCCTGTGAGCCTCAGTTTCCCCACCTATGAACAGGCATGATCACAGCACGTCCGGCCTCGCAGGACCGTCATCGGGTCTGTGCGTGAGGCAGGAGGGACTGGGTACCCCAGCTCCCTCTGCTGCCTTCCCAGGGGCTGCGGATCCCCGTTCTGAGGCCTAGGGCAAGGGCGGTCAGTCCATCTGCCTCAGGCTTCTGTGTGTGTGTGTGTGGAGGGGCCCTGGCCCGCCGGAGGAAAACAAGTGGGGGGCAGTGAGGAGGGGGGGGACTGTGGGCAGGGTGGGGGGAATTGGCTGAAGGGCCGGCCAGCAGCTCCACCTAATTTGTCTAAGAAACTGCCCAATAATGGCCTGTATTTATTTATGCTGAGCGTATATTTATATCAGCCCCTTTCTCATTAATAGGGCAGGAAATGGCTGGAATTGTTACATACCTGGCTGTCATTTCAGGGGTCCCAAGGCCTGCCCAAGGCACAGGGCGCCATGTCGTTCAGCCACTCCATCATCAAGTAGGGGGCCCTCCTCAGTCCCCGGCCTGAGTCCCTGGCCTTTCTACTGACCTCGCTTTGCATCGCACTCTTCGCTTCCTACCTCCACTGCCTGCTCCCCCCACCCCCGCCCAGCATACAGCCCTGGGGAAAGTGGTTCATTTTTCTGGCTGTCTGTCCCCTGCTCCGGGCTGGCCCCTCCCACCTCAGGGAAGACAGAAGTGCAGAGGTGCCGCCCAGGTCCAGCTTACAGAATGGGGGGAGACACTGGGCAGACGGAAGGCAGAGCTTCTGAGGAAATCAGGTCCCCTGATTTTGGGCATAGGTCCTGAGCTCTAAAAGGGCAGAAGAGAAAGTGACGGGCAGAGCCCCGAGGTCCCCGGGCTCTGCTCCCAGCAAAGCCAGGCCACACGCCCACCAGGATGCACCTGCAGGTCATAGACCCCTGCATCCCATAGGGGCCCCAGGCTGGGGCTTGTCCCCGCCTGCCTCCGGCCACCGGCTACCAACAGGTTTCTGCCGGCGCCCAGCAGCTCCCCTCCCCAGCCTCCACGGCTGCACTCGGAAGGCCAGAGTCTGCTGGGCCTGGGCCCCAGGGCTGCTTCCGGGCTGAGAGGCTGCCCCTCCCCCCAGAATCCGCCTGACATGACCTGTTTCTGTGTGCTCGGGCCCGCTCCCCCAGCCGGTCTCCCCCCACCCCCCCAGGCTGGGCCAGTTGTCCTGCTGTCCCTCCCCTGGGTGGCTTTTGCTGGGGTGGGGTTAGAAGGAGCCTGCGGGGCGCCTGGGTGGCACAGTCGGTTGCTGGTCCTGATTCTGCCTAGGTCACGATCTCGCGCACCGTGAGTTGAGCCCCATCAGGCTCCTGGGCTGATGGGCTCAGAGCCTGGAGCCTGTTTCTCTGATTCTGTGTCTCCTCTCTGCCCCTGCCTGTCGCCATGCTCTGTCTTCTCTGTCCCAAAAAATAGATAAATTGAAAAAAAAATTAAAAAAAAAAAAATTAAAAAAAAAAAAAGAGAAAAAAAAAAAAAGAAGGAGCCTGCGGGATGCCCACCTGCCCTGGGAGGGGGGGGGGGCGGTAGCTGTGCCTGTTACCCTGCCCGCAGCTGGGGCCCACGAGCTGTATCCACTCAGAGCCTTTTCCTAGGCCGGGTCTCCTGGTGGCTCCCCTGTGCTCAGCTGGGCCTGGCCTCCGACTTCTGCCCCCTGCAGCCTCAGTGCCCTCCCGGCTCAGAGGCCAGAGCGGGGCCAGTGTGCAGATATGGTGACTAAAGCTTAGAGGCGAGGGCCTTTCCTGAGGGCCTGCCCTTTGCCCTCACCCCGCGCCGTCAGCAGTACATCTAGGGCCTGGGGCAAGGGGGTGGGAGGGGGGCGGCTCCTGACCTTGAGGAGGGGACACTGAGAACCTCCAGTGCTCTAGGCCGGAGCCCCCCCGGGTGGTGGGAGCGGCTGCTGCATGCCTGGGGCTCAGGCAGGGGTCTCTGGGTTTGTGGCCGTCCCACCATAAAGGGCAGATGTGCTATATGGGGACAGGAGAGCCAGGCCCCAGGTAGAGCGCCACGCCCGGGTTCCTTCTCCCCAGACGCACAGCCCCACGTCCGAGCCCGAGCCCTGGCCAGCGACAGGTGCCTGGTGCTCCTCC